TTTTTTTTTTTTTTTTTTTTTTTTGCTTAACAGAAATTTATTTTCTCACAGTTCTGTAGACTAAATGTCTGGGAGCAAAAGGTTGGCAGTGTTGGTTTCTTCTGAGGCCTTTCTCCTTGATTTGTAGATGGCGTCTTCCCCTTGTGTCTTCACATTATCTTCACTCTATATATGTCTGTGTCCAAATTTACTTTTTTTATAAGGCTACCAGTCATATTGGATTAGGGCCCACCTTAATTACTTCATTTTAAATTGAAGTAACTGAATTTTACAGAGGGCGAACATGACTTACAAATACTTGCTCCTTCTGTTTCCAGACTATTCAGTAGTTCAGTATGACTGGACCAGGGGAAAAGGGGTGGGATATTGTGCTGAAGGATAGTATGATTGACAACCTAGTGACCTAGTTGCAGCGTAAGCGCTTTGAATTTTTTCTGAAACCAATGGGTAGCATCATAGATTTTTCAAATAAAAAATGGCATGCGTAGACTACTTTATACAATTATTTTAGGGCCTGGACAGAAGGGAGGGGAAGAAGATCCAAGGGATAAATAAAATACAGTCTGTATTTTCTCTTAGGAGCCAGTAGCCCTGTAAAGGATGGATTAGGCAAGCCAAAAGATAAGACATAGGGAGACTGGTTAACAGACAGTTGTACTAGTTGAGATCTGCGATAAGGGTCTGACCTTGGGCACTGGCCTTGGAAATTAAAAGAAAGGACTGAATTCCAGGCATATTTTCAATTTAGATGAGTAGGAATAAATGACAGATTGCCTGTGAGATGGGGTTGTAAAAGGCCTAGCAGTTAACTGGAGATTTTATCTAGGGTGGCTTGGGAGGACAGAAAGGGACTGTGGGCCTATCAACATTTGATACCAAGAATAAACTTAAAGCTCTTTATGTGTCTTTGTCTGGAAGTGAACTCAACCCTCTCTCCTCCCAGAAAGGTAGCTTGATGCAACAAGCTACCAAAACTGTTGGTGTTTCAGTCCTACTGATAAATATGAGGATGAACACCACTATTTTCTGGGCCAGAATCAGTAAAAATGTGAATCTCATTACATAGATTTATTTGAGCCAGTAGAAGGTAACTATAATTATGAGAAATACCTAAGAATTTCATTTGTGTGAAAACAATCTTCACGTATTTTTACAAAATTTGAGATCGCCAGCTTTCTTGTTTCTTCCCTTTGACTACCCCAGGTTTCTGTCCGATTTCTCCCCGGAAGCAGTCCTACAGGGCCTCTTACTGTGGACCGTATGAAGCCAAAGTTCATTCCATTATTACATCTTTAAAGTATGGGAAGCTCGCTTCTCCATTTACCTTGCCAGGACCAACTGTCATTAAGCCAACCTGCCGGGTATTTTGTTTTCCCATATTTGTTCCCTTTTTTTCTTTTTTAGAGGTATTTTTTAAATCTTAGATTACATTTTTTTATTTACTCCTAGTTGTTTTATAACATTGTCATATCTAGTTTTATATTTACTTTTACTCTCCACACATTATGCTGCAAGTAACAGAAAATTGAACTCAAACCGACTTAAATATAAAGGGGCTTTATTGGCTTAGGTACTTAGAAGACGTGAAAGCGGGCTGCTGGTTGTTGGTCCTGGTTTCAGCTATTATCAAGGACCCATTCAATTATAATTTAATGAATTACTTTTAAATCTTATCCTTTGTTGTTGGCACTGTTCGAAGCCTGAATCCCTTTGTGGTAGGGTGGCTACCTGAATCAAACAATGAGCACTTGCCCCTGGGTCGTACTCATGGAGAAAATACTTCTATCTCAGCACTTCAAAGAAAAGAGCTCACTGGTAATGGTTCTAGAGGAGATAGATAGTAAAAGCCGGTAGTTACAGAATATGCCATGGTGGGAGTATACACACTGTGCTATGGGAACGCAGAGGAGATCATTATGTTCTGTCTGTGGGAGTTAGCGAAGGCTTCCAAGAGAAGGTGTCATATGAGTTCGATCAAGGAAGATGGAAGAAGTTGACCAGGTTAAGAAGTGTAGTGTGATATCCTAGTAGAGGAAACATGTATACCGATAATAACATTGATTACTTATAATGCTAGGCCTTCTATATAGATGATCACTAATCCCTATAACAGCCCTCCAAGGAGCCTGTATTATTAACCCGACTTTATATACGTGGAAACTGAGGATCAGGGAGAAAGGAGGACTTACCCAACTCCTTCCAAGTAAAAACTTGGGAGCCAGAATTCGAACACAGATTTGTCTGACTCCAAGTTCATGATCTTTCCCCTACATGATGTTCCCCGCCCCCAAGACACAAGTAGAGAAGCGTATAACGTCTATCAGCGTGCAGTTGAGATGGCTGGGGTATAGACTAAGTTGAAGCCAGAAGGGCAGGTTGGAGCAAGCCTTTAAAAAAGGCCTCATAGGTCAGCAACCAATGTAGAATATTGCAAAAATGTACATTTGAAGCATGACATTATTAGTTATATTTTAGAAAACGGGCTGTATTGGAGGAGTGAGGCATGAAGCAGAGGAGGGAGCGACCCCCACTCTCCACCTTGCTGTGCTTTCATCACATTATCCTCCTTCCTGTTCCTCAAACCGACTTCTCTCAGCCTCTGTGCTGGCCATCAGCTCTGCTGGGAACGCTTTTCCAGCATCTGTGGCCAAGCCCAGCCTGTTCTCACCCGCCAGTTAAGTCTCAATGGCATCTCCTCCCCTCCCATCTAACATGCATTTTTTTAGTTGTTTTCTGTCTTTATTTTTCTGTTTATTTCCTTCCCTGTACTTATCATAGTCTATAATTAACTTATAAATTCATTCATTTGTCTTTCCTCAGGAGACTAAAAGCCCCAGGACAGTGGCTTTCTTTCTCCTGTTCACTGTGCCTGGCATGTAGTAAGTGCTCAGTAAATGTTTTCTGAATGAATGAATGAATGAGCATAGGCTGGGAAAACCACTGACAAGATGAGTTTTACATGTTTGATAAACACAAGAACTTGAGCCAAAGCCATTATAGAATGAAAAAGAAAGGCTTAATTCATGAGACATTGTATTAGTTTGTTAGGGCTGCCATAACAAAATACAGACTGGGTGGGCTAAAAAACAGAAATGTATTTTCTCACCATTCTGGAGGCTACAAGTCCAAGATCAAAGTGCTGGCATGCTTGGATTCTCCTGAGGCCTCTCTCCTTGACTTGCAGAAGGCCTTCTTCTTATTGGGTCCTCACATGGCCATTTCTCTGCACAGCCATGGCCCCGGTGTCCCTGCCTCTTTTCATAGAGACACCAGTCGTATTGGATTAGGGCCCACCCATCTGACCTCATTTATGTGTTATTACCTCTTTAAAGGCCCTGTCTCCAAACACATTGGGTGTTAGGGCTTCAACATAGGACTTCGGTGTGAGGACAAGCAATGGTGGGGGGTGGGGCAAGGGTGAAGGGGCGGTGGGGGTGGTCAAAATTTAGTCCAATACAGATATTTTAGAAATAAAATCATGAAGTCTTGGTAATTGGGTTTGGGGGAGAAGGAGAACCGAATCCATATATTTTTAGGCAGAAAATGTTTATTGCGCATTTGAGAATAGCAAAAGATTGGTACTTTATAAAAGCTAGAGTAGACTTAAATATGTGTTTGTCCTTAATGATTGGGGCAGTTGATAGAAGAAATTAAAGATGGGAGAGCTAGGATTTGATTTATTGACCAAAGTTTTAGAATAAATGGAGGGGATCAGGGGGCTTGGAGAAGCTGGTTTAAGGGGGTAAAAAAAAAAAAGTGCTGACTTCTAAGATCAGAGAGAAGAGAAACAGAAAGGAAGGGTGAAGAAATAAGCAAATGGAAGAGTACAGTGGAAAGTGAGGGCTTTCAACTGGGTGGTGGTGTATTTGAACAGAGATTAGAGGACCATGGGTTTCAGGAGAGTAAAAAAGCTCTGGAAGACAGCTTGGTGGATTATCCTACGTTCAACCTGGGGAAAAAGCCATTGCTGAATGGCATTGAGGCCCCATTTGAGGTTAGGTGGCAGTGGACACAGTTGGTCTAGTTCTTTGTTTTTCACCCCAACATTGCTAAATATTTGTGCATTTAGATTGGTAATAGATTTACCAGAAGTTGGATTTTGCAAGGCTTGGAGGTTTGCACAGGCTCAAATTGAAGGAGCCGAGAGATTTTAGAGAATTTATGAAATGTTTATTGGAGTGGTTGATTATGGGGTCCAAGCTAGACGGGGAGAAAAGTAAGCTCAGAGTAGCTAGAGTGAGTGGAGGTCTCAGAGTGGAAAATGTGGGGTGAAAGGAAGAAATATACGTATGTTGTTGAATGATATTACAGAGTCTGAAAATAACACTTCGAATATGATCAGGTTTAGGTCAACACGTAGGTCAAAAGTCCTCTCCTTGGCCACTGCGCTTACATTCAGAGGTCAAATACAAAGAAACCAAGGGGTCAGAACAGCATTGGTCAATGCCAGTGAACAGGTAGAATTGTAGCTAGTTCTTTATTCAATCCTTATGTAGGAATATTGGTTTAATAAATTCAGGGCTTGGGTTTGTAGTCAGACATGCCGTTGTGCATAGCTCCCTGCAAGATATGCTTGGGGGATTTTTAGAGCCTCCTTGATTATACATAGCAGATCCTCTTTTCTCTAAGGATTTGTACTTTATAAACTGTGTCTACATAGAACAATTTTGTGACCTTTTAAAAATATATGGCAGCTGGTGGAATAAATGTCAACTAAAGTGGAGTCATATTTAGGTTTTTATTACACTTTCAAATTGAACATCACTGATGAATAGGTTGTTGTCATTTCTGTCATCTGTATCATTTTTAAGTGATGTTCATCCCTGCCTCCATTTGGTGGTATCAGGGCTATCAGGGCTGTTTCTCCAAATACTTACACCACCATTCCTCCAACGGCTTCTAAATAAATTATGCCTATTATTTTTTTGTGCAAATGGTAATTGCAGCATTTCAATCCTTTCTTACTGATCTCCCAATTTTGTTCTGCATTCGGATCTGTGTGACTGTGGTCTGTTAAATGACTAGCCACTGAAGGATATGTACTGTGTAGGCTCTTTAAAATAGTATCTAGCTTTGTGCTCTTCAGGTTTTTGCACTCACTAGCAATAATGCACATAATTTTAACTGTGGAGAATGTCATTAAACTAAAATGGAACATTTACACAGTCCCTTTTGCAGAGAATTTTGGACTAGGAAAATGAATGTGTGTGTCAGACATTTAACAGCACATGAGAATGTGATTTATTGATTTCTGATGGCTCTGTTGGCATCAGTGTATATATTTAAAGAAGTCATGCAGCCTTTATAAATGCAAATGGGAAAGGGCTTTCCATCTTTTTCCTCGATGGAAATAGCTCATACATTTTCAATAACTCAGGCTCCTCTTAGAGATTGCTCTACGTACCGTATATATTGATTTAAAAATTATACAGTTATTTTATTCTACAAATAGCGTATATAATGAAATGTCAATTTACCTAACAGATTATAGAAATTCAAAAGTATTAAAGATATGAAAAAATACTAGTATCTTAAGCCTTTAGGTAATACTAAGTGTGTACTTGAGATGTAATTATTTTAATGGAACTGACACTTTGGCTTTCTCCCTGCTTCTGAAAGCATATCTTAAAGTACTTAGGAAATCCAATATTCCTTCTAGCCTGTCACTTACTGGTGATAGTAAATCATATATGGCCAAAAACATCCTCTTAGACCACGCCTGGAGATTTACATTCTTGCCATTTGAGCTTTATGCTGCTGAAGGGAAGTGATTTCATTTGAATTTTATTCATTGCTTAGCTAACTGGGTAGTTAACATCAAATCCTGTTTATCAGTATCTACTTTAGTAATGTATTAACTGGATTGAATTACAGATGAACAAGTGATTGCATGTAATTGGCAATCGGACAAACAGCTTATTTCAGTCCTATACGTAAAGCAGTTAACTGAGGAGCTCACACTCATTTAACCTGGAGAACATCTAATTCTGTACAGTAAGCCACTATCTTCCTCCTTTTTTTTTATTAAAAAATTTTATTTATTTATTTTACTTATTTTTTTATAGTCAGGTGTACAAAACAATATAGCAATTTGACATTTATATACCTCACAGAGTGATAGCCCCAATAAGTCTATTACAACCACCTGATATTGTACATTTATTACAGCATTATTGAATGTATTCCCTATGCTGTACTTTATATCCCTGTGACTATTTTTTAATTATAGTTGACATTCAATATTATTTTATATTAGTTTCAGGTGTACAGCGTAGTGGTTATATATGTATATAATTTATGAAGTGATTCCCCAATAAGTCTAGTACCCATCTGACACTATACATAGTTTTTATAATATTATTGACTATATTCCCCATACTGTACTTTACATCCCTGTGACTATTTCGTAACTGCCAATTTGTACATCTTAATCCCTTCACCTTCCTCACCCAGTCCCCCAATCCTCCTCCCGTCTAGTAACCATCAATTTACTCTGTATTTATAAGTCTGTTTCTGTTTTGTCTGTTTGGTTATTTTGTTGTTTAGATTCCACATATAGTGAGATCATATGGTATTTGTCTTTCTCAATCTGACTTATTTCACTCAGCATAATACACTCTAGGTCTACCCATGTTGTCACAAATGGTAAGATTTCATTCTTTTTATGGCAGAGTAATCTTCCATTGCATATATGTACCACCATTTCTTTATCCATTTGTCTATTGATGGGCATTTCAGTTGCTTCCATATTTTGGCTATTGTAAATAGCACTGCTGTGAACATAGGGGTGCATATATCTTTTTTAATTAGTGTTTTGGATTACTTTGGATAAATACTCAGGAGTGGAATTACTGGGTCATAAGGTAGTTCTATTTTTTAATTTTGTGAGGAACCTTCACACATTTTCCATAGTGGCTGCACCAATTTGCAGTTCCACCAACAGTGCACAGGGTTCCCTTTTTTCCACATCCTTGGCGACGTTTGTTGTTTGTTGATTTATTGATGATAGCCATTCTGACAGGTGTGAGATGATATCTCATTGTGGTTTTTATTTGCATTTTTCTGATGATTAGTGATGTTGAGCATCTTTGTATATGTCTGTTGGCCATTTGTGTGTCTTCTTTGGATAAATGTCTATTTAGGCCCTCTGCTCATTTGTTAATTGGATTTTTTTTTTGTTTTGAGTTATACGAGTTTTTTTATAAATTGTGGATATTAACCCCTTATCAGATGTTTCATTAGCTAATAACTCCTCTTTTATATGGGATACCTGAGAGGGTATGTTTGAGAGGCCATGGATGATTAACTACCTCTACCATATGAAATTATTATATGTTTAATATTGTCATTTAATATTTACAAAATTACCTTTGTTGCTATTTTATATGTCTTTTAATAATATATGTATGTGTACCACTTAACTGTCAGCTCATATGGTAATGGAGAATAAGAACTTTTAACCTTGTTTTATCATACAAATGACTTGAGTTTGAAAAAGGGAGTCAAATGTGGCAGCCTGTCATTTTCATGAGGGACATTCTAATGCCAAGGTCACCGTGGACCATTATCAACAGGTATGATTCATCTCTAAGTTAGGCCCAAGGATAAGAAGGAAGAAGACTGATTTCACTTATTAAGTCACCTTTAGAACTCCTAGTAGTTACTAAACACTATTAAAAAAATATAGTTATCGGGCCGGCTGAGGCTCAGTTGGTTAAGAGCTCGCTTAAGAGTGCAAGCTCTGAGCAACAGGGTCGCCAGTTTGATTCCTGGCCTGTGCTGAGCTGGCGCTGAGCTGCCAACAGGTGGCAGGATGGCTCAGCTGAAAAAAAAATATATATATGTATAGTTATCTGAGACAATACTTTGATTCCATTTGTACCATTTATTAAAGATCATTGTAAAGGAATAAAGAATCAATTATAAGTAGGACGTAGACACTGTCGTAACATTTGAGCCTCTAGATTAAGGTGGCAGTATAAGTATGCATATTTAATTCCCTTCCTGGCTTCTAAATCCTTATTAAAATGACATTGGCTTTTCCCCATTGTTGTATTTCTTTATGAGTCCTGGAACTTAGGGGAAGGATGTTATCCAGATGCCAAATGCTGTGAAGAATTTCTGCAGGTGATAATGAAGGTGAGACTAGACTGAACTAAGAGATTACTAAAGTGAAAATGGCTGCCTGGAAAGGCAAACTCTGGGATCTGACTGAAAGGGACTGTAGATTTGCCATAGACCGGACCAGCTCTGAGTGGCCAGTGCCAGAAGCAAGGGCAGAGCCTTCAGGAGGAGAACATGTCTGTGCTGCTTTTGTTCTCTGGGAATATTCACCAGGATTTGGTCTCTAAACAGAAGGATACCACTTCAGAAAATCAGTCCATATTTGCTAAGGGGTTGCATTGTTTTCTGTGTGCAAAGGCTGGCTATTTTGCTAGCTAAAGGGAGGTCTAACCTCATGGATGTATCCTTAAATATATGGTTCAGACATTCTTTATTAAAGAATCCATCCCTCCTCCTCACAGGTGCCAAACTTCCACTTGGGCAAGCATCAGTGGGGCAAATGTGCACTTTTTCCTGATCCCTTATCTGAGCCTGAAAGATTTATACAAGGTCCAACAGCATTTCTGACAGAAACAATCTCAATATCTAATATAGATCCAACACCTACTGACCTCTCTCTTAGGATAAAAAGACAGATCAATAATGTGACATAGGAAAGATTTGGCAGTTCAAAAACGACATGCAGTGTGACAGTTCAAAGAACATGACCCTCTGTGTGTTAACTGAAACAGGATAAAAATGATTTCAACAGTGTCTATTAGTAAACTGAAGGTGATTCAGGAGAAATCAGTTATTTTTTTAAACATTAATTGAAGTATTATGGTAACCTATGCAATGTGCTTGACCTTGGGGATGTTATATTATATGAGACTGTCATGCATCTGCCTTCATCAAGCTTGTAAGTCTAGCAGGAAAAACAATATTGGAAGT